CAAGAATCCTTTTTCCGAGTTGTGTATCGGGCTGTACCCAGTGTCGGGCAACTGAGAGATGATCTGATAGTATTTGGACGACTCCGGTGTCATCTCTATGGTGTCGGATCCATCGTTTGCCACTCTATATTCCAAATCTGTTTCCAGAAAGGGGTTGTACCACACCTCGGCCCACGGCACCACGTCTTCGGGGGCTCGAAACGGACTTGGATCCGTCTCTGCTGATTTCCTGTTATATAGCTCTAACTTGAGACGGAGCCCCATGTACAGAGCCGATTCCGGCGACACGGCAGTCTGCTCCTCCTCTGTGAGGCGCATAGATCCTTTCCATACGATACTTTTTTGGGGCCAGTTTGCAAGAGACACGGGGCCCGGGGGGATCTTGAAAACGGACACGCCATGGCACTCGAAGTGCACGTTTGATATCAACATCAAGAGAAGAGGGGCAGAAACACACACGTGAATGGGATTTGGATAGGCGGTCTAGTGCTGCTGCAAAAGCGTAGATGATGATGCCGTGTAAAAAGTTTGCACGCAACGGAAGTTTTTTGGTGGCCTTTGAAATGTGCCTGATTGCCCCGGAGTTGACGTGAGCAAATCCGACTATGACGTCGCGCGAATGGTTTGCACCCACTGAAACCAATTGTCTGCGAGCGAGGCAATACCCCATCTGGCTGCCACGAGTATTGCTTACAATTCAAAGGACAAAGCACGAAATTAAATGCTGCTCTACATTTTTTCGTGACATAGCTTGTGAATACCCAATGGCCGGTCTTTGTCTTTGTGGGTATATGTTTGACTTGTTCTCTATAGGCTAGTGGTGTGGAAGGTTAAAGGTGCGGCCCCGTGCTAGAAGACTTACTAAACCAGGTGATTTCGGTACCGGTGATTGGGTACATCTTTTGCGAAACAGGAACAACAGTTTCTGGTTCTTGCTTTGTTTAGGTCGATGGCACAATGTAGTTTCAGAAGAGCATGTACACGCCTGTATGGGCAAATTACCGGGATTTCACGCAATAAAAGATGATAACAGCAGTGACTTAAGCCCCCGCATTGTCGTGAGGATTCGGCTCCAAACTTTTGGGGATTTTGAAGAGCAAGTTTGGGTAAGGTCTTACAATGACTGGTGCTTCAAGAAATATTCTCAACAATGCACAAGTCAGATCCACATGTTCTTTCGAGGAGCTTTTACCACGCATGTTGACAAGAAGTTTCGAGCTATACCTGTCTTCTATATTTTTGCTCTTCTTTGCGTCCTGGACTAAGCTCTTTATAACGTATTTCACTCTTCAAAAAAAATGCTCTTTGGGTGTAAAATACTAGCCGCGACCTGGATTCGAAACCTTGGTCATATGGAATAAAAGAAGATTCCTGTAAGCGTTTAATATCGACTAGGCATAGAGACAAAAGTCAACATTTTAACAAAAATACTACATTGGATCGCTTGTAAGAGCGCATGTAATTTCCTGGTGCAAGTGAGACTTTCATACATCATTATAGGCATGCTGAGTAGAAGAACACAGTTTCTTCGAGGCCATGCTCAAATATTGGAAGTTTGCATGACTGTAGACAATCATTTTGATTCAACCGGCTCACACAGGGCCGAAGTCGATCAATTTGTACGACATCTATCTGAGATTTCTAATCTCCATCCTAATGTTTTTTTAGACTTGCAAGAGTTGCCTCGCTTTGGGGGTTTGTATGCCGTTTTCCCCAAGATTTGGCTCAAAAAAAAATAAGGATTTATCTGATTAATGGAGCAAAACTATATAAATAATACACAGAAAAGTTTTGAACAGCTCCTATATACGTACCAAGTGTGGAAACTCGGCCCGCCCCCTTCCGTTAGTTACGGCCTGGACGGTCCTCTTCGCCCGTATCTGTTTATGTATGGCTATTACGTCATTGATTCCTAGGATAAGTCTCCTGTATTAATCTCTACTAGTCCCAAGAGCTTAACTATATTAAACCTATGAGTCTGAATAAAATTTTGGCTCCGGTGGACAAATCTTATTGAGTTGATGAACCAAAATTGGTTTTCGTCAGGATCTTCGATGTCCTCGAAGATGTGGCGATTTTGAAGAAGTGAACTCCTGAAGTCTTCTCCAACCATATTAGTCAAAGTTTATGCTACTTGAGACTGTAACTAAAAATCCATAATTGAACATATGCGGTCCAAGAGGATTTCCAGGACGTGGTTTGCGGAAGAAAAGCGTTTGGAATAGGTACGTATTTGAGAGCTGTTCAAGGCTGTCTTATATATATATGTATATTTGTTCCCTTAGTCATATATAATCAAAAAAAAGAAAATGTGAGTTCTCAAATATTGGTGACGCAAGATCAGCTTTACAGTGTTCGTGAATCTGGAACAAACTACTTCATTTGAAATATCATGTAATATTCGACAAAGACTTTTTTAGTCTGTGAATTTTTGAGATAAATGTACACAATCACATTCTTCGAAACGGTGATCATATATGTGGCCTTTCTTCTATACTAACTGCAGATCCTAACTATCCGAAAATCGAATTTGATCACAGTTGACATGTAATACACTCCAAGCACTTCATGTCATTTTTGGAAGATTCAAATCTCCTGAGAGTATGTTGATTCAGAGTTCTGGTTCCTAATATTCTGTTGCAACGTTCTCCCTTCGTCTTTGATTAATCGCATGCCATCACCAAAAAATGGTGACTAATAGACTGGTTGGGCTGTATTTAATGACGCGAGCGAATGCATGCTCTAAGTAATCACATTTTTGAGAGGACAATATATACGTTTCTATGTAATGACTAAAAGAAGGGAAACCGAAACCTTTTGCGCATATAGTCTGACATGATCTCATAGACAGGAATAAGTCAAAATTATATTATAACTTAGACTATATTCTTCACGTAGCACCAAAACAAGATAGTAAATCAGTTTTCAGGAAAGGTCGGAATTCTAGTCTGGATTGTTTCATGCAGCAAAACAAATGGCATCTTTATAAATGAGCTACAAAGCGAAACGCAAATTAACCAGCACTTAAAAACATGCTTCAAACTAAGAATAGGTAAACACTCGAGGAAATGATGTATTTTAAAGACTTTTTCCAGTCCCAATACTCATACAATATTTTTGAAATTGTGACCATAAAACGATTGACAAGACTATAATCAAAGTAAGAACTTAAGCTTAACATTTATAATATCAAGGTGTCCTTTTGTTGTAAGAGCTGGCTTTCAAGCGTCAAAAGTCTTCTTTGTATCATTTAATTCACCTCATACAAATTAGATCTATTCGTCGCTACTATTTCACTGAGTTTACACCCAAACTTGGGGCTGCAAATCTACTTTGCCTAAAAAGCTTATGTCATTTTTGGGAGTTTCAAAGTTATACGGTATGAAGCTAAAACTAGAGTAGCTTCAGACCTGTTTTGAATACAAGGCAACATGTAGTCTATATGTTGGCTGCAAAGCTGGTCGTGGGAGAAACAAGCTTCCTATGCGGTTTGATTGAAAGCATAAAATTTGTGTTTGTGTATCTGATTAGTGGACTATTTATTTGGCTCGCTCCCTTTATTATTTCCGTTTTTTTTTATACCACCTTCTTTTCAAATTCAGAGAATTCCCGAACTCTTCAGCCAAGAGATCACAGTGAAACACTCCAAGACAATTTGACATTCAACAAGACACTCAGCCCAACTACCATGCATTTATTTTCAAGAATCAGATCTGACGCTCGTGCCCGTGAAGGTAAAAGAGTCCGTTTGGCCTTGAAGGCCTTTGAAGGGATCGAACTACACAGTTGCGAGACGCTCAATCCGATTACTTACTACGACGCTAATGCGTATGATGACAACAATTCCAAACTCTCTATTCACTTTGTTCACGACTCTCTTCCTCTTAGGAGCTTTTCAAACTATGGTCGCTTCACCAAGAAAGCCCCTTTTACTCCAAGTAACAAACAAAGCAGGTTCTCAAGAGCTCAAAATGAAATTACTGAGATTCTTGAGATACAAAGGTTGAAAGCTATCATCCTAAAGGCATCAGTCAAGAATTCGGTCAAGGCTGGTCTCACTAGCTTGAGTAGAGCCACAAAGCCAACAGCCAACTTCGAAGACGAGCCAATCACTCAAAGACAATTTGAAAATGGTCTTGCGTTGTCAGAGAACATGGAGTCTACTGTTTCCGAGTCTTGGGGAATTTCTGGGAAGCCAAAACACAAAAGCCGCATCGGAAAAATTTCCCGCAGAGTCTCTAAAAACGTCTCTAAGCGTTTGCGCAAAATGGCTTTCAAGAAAGGCTCCAAGTCTGGAAAGCAATTGATTCCTAATTCCAAGGTGAAGGATTGTGAGTTGGCAATACAACAGGTTCACGCCCGGGGCCAGATTGCGTTGTTCGGCCACGTTCTTGACTCCATCGACACTGAGTCCATTTATTCTAGTCAAAAACAAAACTTCTTTTTCAAAATTCAAAACCTTGCCAAGAAAATTTTTGGCAGAAAGCAATCAGCAGATGCCAAATTCTTCGGTTGCAAATTCGGCTTTCGGACCGGTTCCTGGCGTCGTGCGTCGTTTTCCCGTGCGCGGGTGCAAAAGCGGCGCACGGTCGCCAGAAACAAAGACAATGATTTGAAGCATTTCAAATTGACTGCTAAAGCTCATAAATTCCCTTGGGTATTCTTGAGACGTAAGTCAAATTCTGAAAAGGTTCACAAAATCGTCGTCGCGGACAAGCACAAGAAACGCAACAAGAAAGTGAAAGTGACTTCCAAGGACTCGACCTTGCGTCCTTTTAACTTGACTTGCAACTCTCTCACCTTTTCTCAGACGACCCTCAGACAGTTGTCCCACTTGAAAATTCTTTGCAAGTCTATGAAGCCTGTCCAACTGGCTGACTTAGCTGTGAAGGATTGGGGCACATGCGCCTTCTACTCAGGTCGCAAAACTCAAAGTTGCTCAACAACCCTCTCCAGGTGCATCCTTCCTTTTAAGAAAAGTGCCAGCAATAACGAGAGTGGTTCAGGGGACAAAGAGACAGAGCAAGATATGCCTTCTTTTTTCTCCAACAGCGACGTTTTTTCCATGCGTGCAATCGCCCCCAAGCTCACTGAAGGTTCATCTTCGGCTAGTACAAAGGGGGTCGAGGGCACCTATACTAACAATACAGGACCCGTTTTGGGTAAAACAGAATACAACTGGGCACTTCTGGATCTTCCATCCGAAGTCTCCATCACTCCCTTCAGGATCTTCTCCCCAAACCACTGCCGCGTTCATAAGACAAGCAGGGTCCAAGGGTTGAAACGAAGCGGAAGTTATCGCAGGGGCCTTGACTTAACACGTCAGGGTTTCGAAATTTTTACCTGCAAAGACAATTAGGGAGGAACTTGTGCCTCAAGTTGATCCTCTGGAAAGACTTCCGGGCTAGAGACTCCAAACAGTCTCTACGCTTAAGTGGGGTCTCATACGAGTTCAAAAAGACTATTTGGCTGACTAGTCCCATGCTCCGAGACCCTAAAGTGTTGTATTCATCAATAGGTGACAACACAAAACCCCAAAAAAAAGATGAAACGAGAGCGATATTGCCTCAGTTATTCTTATTTGGAGTGTTTTTTTAACTCTAGTAATAATAAATGTTCGATGTCTGTTGACCTGTTGTATGGTCTTCAGTACAAATATCGTTAACTTTGCTGACTTCGGTCTTTGTAGAAATTTAGGTGTTCAAATCCAATTATATAGCTTCTAAACCTACTTTTTTGGTTTAGGAGTTGTAGTCTTTGGTATTATGGCTGATGATTGTGTATGACTAGTATAGGTTTCGAAAGAATGTCAATTTTGTCCTAGAGCTTGAGAATGTACATTTTCACTCATCAATGCTGTGGTCAGGATATATAATATACATGAATACTTCCAGTCACAATATTTATGAGTAGTTCTGAATCTAACCGTAGCCCTAAAACTTGGTCTGTGAGCTGCTGGTAAATACTAACATCATCAAAGTGTTTCGGCTCACAATCAATGGCGCAACACAAAAACCTCTCGAAAGTATTCTGAACTAGAGGAATATCGAATGCCTTCGATGGCCAGATACTCGTTCAAGTCCTGAACAGGGCTTATGAAAGCCATAGACCTCGCTAATCGCAACTCAAGTTTAGACGTTTCCCAAATGCAGCTATTCTAAAGCATTCGCTGTCACTCTGGTCTTTATAGTCCGTGTCTTAGAATTAGTACATAGAGTGTCTTGACGACAGATTTCATCTCTCAAAGCTCAAATTCTACGATCGTAGTTTTTTGGGGAAGCCTAATAGAGTTTTTATTTATTTTTTTGCTTAGTCTTTCGAGTTTCCTACAAAGGCAGTCATCTTTCCTTTCTTATCTTCGTGGTATTGAGTAATGTGACACCAGTTGATTTCGATAACATCGATCATGGCCAATTCCCAGATCAAAGAAAAACTAGCGAAAAAATTAGAAAAATCAGAAATCCGGTGCAAAGGATAGCCCACTGCATTGTGATAACAACATTCCTGGATTCCAACTACTGAAAGAAACTCAGGGCATTATACGCCGCCCATATCCCATAGCAGCGCGTTTCGAAGTATCATAGAGAATAAGCTTATCGCTACCCTTATGTTCTTCGTAATGTTAGCATAGAGAGTAGAGACTTTTCCCAGCTTCTCCCGTTTTCGAGAATCTATTTTTGTACATATAAGGCAAGACGGTCGAGCCACCTCTACAAACGCCATACTCAGAGCGGGTCCTTGAGCTCTACGTTGTCTATTTTTCTATGTACATAGCCATCCGTCATCTAGTATCCTCTTCTCTTTGCATCGGTGATTTGAGACATCAAGTCAGAGAAGCCCAGCGCAAAGTGCTTCTTCCACCAAAGACTCTTCTTCATCTTGCGGAATTTGGCCGGGCGAATGTAACGCTTCTGATTGTGCCATTGGGAACGGATATCGTTTTGCCTGAGAATGGACTGAACGCCCCGGAGAGCAGTCCCGACGTTTTGGAAGGTCACATCCACAGTACGCCCCGCAGATGGGCCAGAAATGTTGATGGCCTTGGCGGCCTCACGGGGGTCTTTGACGCTGTTTCCGAAAGCATATTCATCGTATTTGCCCAGAGACCTCTGTGTGTCTCTGAGATCCGGCGAGTTGGCGATCAACGCGTCGAAATTGAAGATGGTGGAAGCATTTTTGGGAGCACTAGCAGCCGTGTCTTTGAGCTCGGAAAAGGGGTCCGCCTCTTTTTTTTGAGAAATGAAACGCACAAATGCGTTTCTGGGTGTGCACTGACGGAGCGCAGGCAACCTTCCTGTGACGTTGGTGAACATTAGTGGGTGCTGTGGTCGAGGTCAGAGGCTGAAATTTTTAGCGGTGTTAAGTGCACGAAGACTGAGAACTCCATACAAGCCCGAAAAAGTGAGGCTCTTGAGAAAAGTCAGCCCAAGGCGCGGCAATCGAAAATGAAATACGGGCAGCACCACAGAGAGGTGCAAAGCACATACAACTTGCAGGAGTTTGCCTGTGCCAGTATGTGTTCATTTGGCGTCCCAGCAAACAAGGCCATGTAGATGTATTGTGGGCATGCTCAGGTTTACGTGCACTGGGTATGTCTCATACCAGACTACAATGTAATAAGTTATTAGTGTATTCATGCTGCATGCACTGGAAGCGGCGGCAAAAGAGTGTTGTGTGTGTGGATCCCTCCTCCAGGGACTTGTATGAGATATGCTTGGCTCCTCTTTTGTCGACTCTGCCGTGGTGAGTACCGCTACAAGGCCCGTCATGGACTGCTCGGCCAGTCGTCCAGACGCCCACGCACCGGCCGAATACGTATGCTGAAATGAGGGTCTGCTTAGTTCTTTTTGAACGGGATCTTCTTCAAGTGTTTTTTGTCCTTCTTCGGGTCGGGTTTGCCGTTGTAAGCCTTGTGCACCCTGACCTCCAACGAGATGACGTTGGACTTGATCACCATCTCCTTCTGCTCCAACGCCTTCTGCTGGTCCTCCTTGCGCCTGAAGTCGCACAACGCGGTTTTTTGTGTCTTCTTGAAGTACTTCATTTCGCCAAAGTTCTCCACCAACGCGGCCTTCAACTCGTCCTCGTCCACGTCGACGTTGCGGATGAAAATGGGGTACCACTCCTCCTTCTTGTACTTGCCGTTCACCGGCGACGGGCCTTGCGCCTGGCTTGGCGAGGCAGCCTTTTTGGCAGCAAACGCGGGGACCGGTGGGGGAGGGATCTTGATGGCGGCGGGCGATGCGACGGCTGCGGTTTTGGCGTTGGTCTTGGGGCCGATGGCCGCCAAGTTCGCCCACGTGGGCTTCTGTGGTGGGACCGAGGGCTTTTCGGGCTCCGCGGATTGTTCCTGGTCTGGCTTTTCCTGGTCCGTCTTTTCCTGGCCTGGCTTTTCCAGGTCCGTCTTTTCCTGGCCTGGCTTTTCCTGGTCCGTCTGTTTCTGGTCTGGCTTTTCCTGGTCCGCAGGCTTCACGGTCTCTGCGGACGCGGCAGTTTCGGCTGCACTGGAGGACGCATCCTCGGGAGAAGCCGGCTGCTCTTTTGTCTCTGGAGCCGACTTCTCCTTTGTCTCTGGAGCAGCCTTCTCCTTTGCCTCTGGAGCAGGCTCCTTGCTTGTCTCTGGTGAAGACTCCTCGGTCGTTTCGGGCACAGGCTCCTCGCTCCGGGTCTCCAAGACGGCCTCCTTCTGCAGCAGCGCAGTGCAGGCAGCGGGCTCGGAAGAGCCGTTCTGGTCGGCCGTCTGAGGCTCGGACGCCTGGACGGGTTTCGCCGAAGGCTCCGCCACGCGCTCGGCAACAGCCGCGGCGGCCTCGGCAGGCTCGCCCGCCAAGTCCACAAACGTCAACACGTCGTTCGCAACGTCGTACACGGTCTTGCTCTTTTCGCGCAAGACAAACGTCTGGACGAACGGCCAAAAGGGCGACACGCCGCGCTTCCATCCGCCGGCCACCACAATCAAAATGGCGCCGGCCACCGAGGCCTGGAACGTGGCGCTCTCCACGACAATCTTGTTTTTGTCCGCGGCAGAGGCCTGGGCGGCCTGGCCGTCGAAAAACGAGCGCACGGCGTCGGAGCCGCGGGCCACGTGCACGGTTTTGCGCCCGTTTCCAGGGAACACGTCGTGCAGAAGCGCGGCCGCAGAGTCGTAAAAGGCATAGAGCTTGCGTATGTCCGCGGTGTAGAATCCGTAGTACTTCTTGAGGAACATCCAGCCGATCTGCTCGGAGGACAAGTCGGGCTGCGGCACGGCTTCGGCAGGGGCCACGGACTTAACGGGCTCGGGCTTGGGGGGTTCGGGCTTGGTGGCCGCGGGCTCTGCGGGAGGCTTTGTGGCTTGGAGCATTGGCGTGGGGCGTGGGAAGAGGAGCTAATCGTAGGGTTTTGGCGTGGCTCTGAGATCTGCAAAAGTTGACCATGGAGCCGGAGGTCTGGAGGCGCGCGGGCGCGCGCCTGTGTGCAGGCACGATGTAGGAGGGTGCTGGTATTGTTGGGGGGAGTTTGTCGATCGAGGTTTGAGGCCTGGATACCGGGAAAAGACTGGTGTGGTTGCCGGTGTGGTTGTTCTATTAGCTTGCTGAAGTGCTGGCTATATGGAATATGTGTGCTCTTTGGTGTGCTTCGTGTGCCAATAAGGTGTTTGTTGTAGAGATGATTCTTGAAGAGGTGTCTAGTGCGATGATTATTGTAGAGGCATCAATTGCAAAGATGTGTATTGTAAAGATGTTTATTCTACAGATGTTCATTGTACGGGCGTCAATTGCCAAGAGGTTTATGAAATAGATGTTCATTGTAGGAATATTTATCGTTGAGGATCAATTACAGAAATGTGATTATAGAGATGTTTTTTTTAAAAAATTCATTGTGGACGCATCAATTGCATAGTGGTTTATGAAATAGATGTTCTTTGTAGAAATATATGTCGTTGAGGATCAATTACAAAATTATCAACTACCAAAATTTCTAATGGAAAATGTTTATTGTTGAGAATCAAATGCAAAGATGTGTATCATATGGAGGTTTTTTTTTGAATTTATTGTAGAGGCATCAATTGCAGAGATTATTGTGGAATCAGTGACTCAAATGTCAACTACCAAGATTTTCAATGGAGAAATCTTTGTTGTTGAGAATCAATTGGAAAGGCATATTAAAAGATGGTATTCTTAACATGTTTATTGTAGTAGATGATTATTATAAAGATGGTATTCTTAACATGTTTATTGTAGTAGATGATTATTATAAAGATGGTCATTGGAGAGGCATCAATTGCAACGGTGTGTATTACAAAGATGTTTATTGTAGAGACAAATATGTTTTTCTAAAAGAGTAAATCACCAAGATGGTCATTGTAAAAATGTTTATTGTTGAGGATTAATTGCAAAGATGTCTTTTGTAAACATGTCTATTGTAAAGAGAACTATTGTAAAGATGCTTATTGTGAAATTCATTGTGAGCGATGTTTGTCATAGAAATGTTCATTGTAAATTATCGATCATGAGTGTTTGTCAAAACTGTTGATTGTCGGTGCTTGAGTTGTTGCTCCTTCATTACTGCAGTGCTAATTATGTCGGTGTGCTAATGGCTCGAGTACTTGATTGAGACTGCGGTGTGTTCGCGTGCTGTGAGAATGCGTCTTGTCCGAGTTCTTCTCGGCTTATTGCTCACATGTGTCTGTTGCAGTTTGAGCCCTGGGGTTTTCGTGTGTATTGTAGATTCACATAACGCTCTTCTTTATATGAAATGTTTTGTGCTCTAGCGCTCATACGGAACATGCGAATGCTCTTTGGTGGCCAGTCCCTTATTTTGCAGATCGTATTCATCGCAGGTCCAGCTTGGGCACATATGTCCACCAGTCTACAACAAGATTGCAAATCACGTTGCCGCTCAAAAATGTAGATCCCAGCCTGGAACTATGCACGTCATTTTTTCAGGTACAAGGATCTGAAGATGGACAGTTCATCCAGGCGCCCAACAAGAGTTCCAGAAGGCCCACGCATCAAGGCCCGTAAACCCGGGCTCCACATCCGCTACTGTAAAAATGAAACCCCTGGCCTAAAACAGTACTGCAGAGGACTCAAAAAAGACTGGCGGTTTCCAAGTTGAGGCTGCGGTTCTAGATTCAGATCGGCGAACTCGCTGTCATACTCACCGGAATCTTTTCCATATCTCCGGCTTGTTCCACGGCCGAAGAGCAGGAAAGCACCAGACTTGTAGACACCAACAAACAAAGCTCCAGACGGGCGCTCTGTAAAGCAACTCCAAAAAACAAAAAAAAAAAACGCCAGCACTTCCACACTTCTGAATTCTGCCCACCCATATTGTTTAATTCCCAGCTCCCATCTTACCAAGCAGACTGACCATGTCGCACGTCCTCATACTAAAGACACCTCCCAATCCCCCACCTCTGTCACAGAGTAAATCTACAGAAAAATCATCCAATTCGTAGGTGTCAAGCATTTGTACTAGAATATGCGATACGCGGCCACACAAACATGACTCGAGCCCCCGCTGCTATATATAAACATGCCGTCGTCAGCCTTCTGCCGACTCCACTAGTTCCCGGTCTCACGCAACAACTCTTCTAAAACCTTGTTCTCGGCCTCGGTCTTGTCGTTCATGCCGCTGAACGACTTGATCCCCATCCGGCGCAACACGTCAATGGTAGTGTTTCTTGCAAAGCCCATATTCTCAAACTGACTGACAATGGCATCGTCGATTCCGTACAACGCACAGTCGCTCAAAGCAGCCACGCCTCCTTGGCTTTCGTCACACGCATACACTTTGGTCCAGTATGCGGCTGTATCCTCGAAACCAGCCTTGTTGCTGATATAGTGCTTGGCCACTTCGGCATCCTGCGGGTCGTTGGGCTCGGGCGACTGCAACAACGATTGCAAAGAAATCAACGACGACTTGAGCGTCAAGATCGGGGTCCACGCGTCCTTCAAGATATCCAAGCAAATTGCTCCCGTGACCGACGAAATGTTCGGGTGGTAGATCTTGGTCAAGAATCTCATCACAGGCGGCTTGAACGGGTATTCGTTGGGGATGTTGATGTCGACTTTGAACACGCCTTTTTCGTAGGGTGTTCCAGGTGGCCCATTGAAATACCCAGTCAAATGGGTCAAGTCGGATTCGTTGACCAAATCAAGCGACACCCCAGACTTGGTATCTTGGCGGCACTCCTCGAGCTCTTTGGCGATTCTCTTGACTCTGGACATGGCTGTTTTGACACGAGGCTCTGACTGGTGCACGTGTGTTTTTCGGAGGCGTTTTCGGTCGAGTGTTCACTGACCTAGGTGTTGGTGTGCAGGTTTAGAAGCTGGTCTTATGGATCCCGATATTTTCCCAAAAGAAACTGAACTAAGGGCTCTGCAAATGAGGGCTCCAAGCCACTCTACCTTTTGGGGCGCACGTCTTACAAAGTTAGATGTGGTTATATACAGGCATGTCGAATGCTATTTTAAGTTGCGCTTGGTGCTTTTACCGAATAGAAGTCATGATTGCGCCGCCTCGAGGCACGTCACTTAGCTCTCATTGATGTACGCTTGCTCGTATTCTTCCACTGATCAACCATGCCGCTTCCCTTGTACCCTGACCACCGAGTAGTATGGTGGGCGTAGAAGGCGGCCTGGGGCAGCGCGATCTCTCTAAACTCTTGCGGCTTGTTTAGCGCACAGTCTTCGCCAAGGCCTCAAAAACTCCCCGCAACTCTGGCGTCGTATTCTTGTGGAACAGCCGGCTGAAAAAATCATACTTCTCATTGCTGACCAACTCAGTCAAGACCATTGAAAGGCCCCATGGATAAGGCTTATTGACAAGGTGCCTCTCTAGGAGCACTCTGGCCACAATTTCATCCATCTCCTCGCGGATCTCTCCCGAGCTCCATGAAGCTTCATCCGAGAAAATGTGAAGAACAAAGCTTATGAACCACTGGGTATGGCAGTTGGGCGAACGGAGCTGGTTAGCGATTGCATCCATGAGGTGGTATCTGAACTCTGTGCAGCCGTGATTCATAAGGTCAACGAGCAATGAGGTGTGTGACGACTTCGAATTGAAGCAAGAATTGTCTCGTGGCAGTTTATCTTCAACGGCAGAGATGACAACATGCAAAGCTAATGCATTGACAAGTCTTGTGTTGAAATTCACGGAGTCAAATCCGAAGCTCGAAACCTCCTTTGGGTAGTTTAACTTGAGGCCCCCGTAGATCGTGCGCAACAAAGCTGAAGCTGGAATACGAATGAAATTCTCAACTGGCTTCTTCAATCCGGCCTTGCTCAAATCGGTAATAGGTGCATATTGTACTCCCGGAGCATCGCTGCAACCCGGCAAGTCATTGCAGTTCAAAGTTCTTGAAAAGGGGCTTTCAGCAGAAATAGTCTTTGGAATTGCTGACAAGATGATGTTTTTCACTTGGATGTAAACAGATGGAACCGCAGTTATCAACTGATAGTGACATTCAATAAGAAACTCAGGTTCATCGTGGGCCAACGCTGTGAACACTCTGTTAATCGCTTTGAAAATCACATGAAGAACGTCATGCTGCACAAATTTGTCTTTGGAGTACACGTTCTGAAACTTCAAAAGAGACGTCAAAAGCTTGACTACAACGCTGTAACCATTCTTCTCAGGCAATTCTAGCAACTTGGGCAAAAACATTCTGTGTGCGATCAAGGATATCCACGCGAAGGTAAATCCCGGGTAGATTAGCGGTTGGACAGAGTCGAGCACATCCCCAAGCGAAGAATAAAACGAAAGGTCCAAATGACTTGTAGCATCGGCATCGAGAACCGATGCCTCGCTCCAAGTACACATGAGTGACGAGAACAACTTAAAGTACGCCCTCTCGTTCCACGTGGACTTCGATCCCTCGTGTTCATTGACAAGCACGAGTGCAATTATATCAAAAATGATTTTCATGTAGGCAGTGGCGTCCTCCGTGTGCGATTTGCTGAATCTAAGAAGTATTCTTGATATCAAAAGTGCCAAGCAATCGACAGACAACAAGACTTCCCTTTGAGTACGACTCCGCATTTCGTGCTCTGTGACGAATGCCGTCGTACTAATTTCGGTGGCCGCTCTGAAGAAAGTCTGAAATTTTTCGGGCTCATTCAAAACCCCGCAATGAAACAACCTGTCAACAAACGCATTTTGTAAAGCCAAGCTGTTTTCATTGTGGCCAACCAATTTAACCCATTCAACAAAAATGTAACCCATTTGAACAAATCCATCCCCTTCCTTATTTTCGGTAGAAGAGGATAACGGAATGTTTGATTCATTCAACAACTTGAATAAGTCGTTACGCATTGCCAAAGCTCTTTGATGTTCTTCTGTGTCTTCGGGATCGTAGTTCAACAAGGCATCTAATGTGCATGCAAATTCAGAGCGCAAAGCAATTGGCCTTGTACCTTCAGAGCTAAACACGTTTAAAAGCAAACTTGAGGCAAATTTGACTAATACAGCACTGTTGCTCTCGGCAATGAGTTTTCCTATGGAGCTGTCAAGCTTAAGCGGGGTGACGAGTTGTACCTTCAATAGCGAAAAAATCACCGGCATGTTGAACTTTCTTTGATCCAGGGAATGAACCATCCACCAAGTCACATCCTTTGCTGTAGATGGTGAGCACTCGCACAATTTGTCAAGAATCACCACATAAATCTCATTGCTCATTGGGTTCTCATGAACTTGGGTGAACAAACAATTGACAGCATATTGAGCCACCTTCAACAACAATTCCGGGTACTTCACAGCGTTGCTCTGGCAAAGTGCCAATGCTTGCGAGAGAGATTGCAAAATGGGATGATCAGCAGGCAATTCATGCAATGACGTCTCCTTGATTCCTGCAAGTGTCTGGATGGCCTTATCAGCCAATTGAGTTATGAAACTGAAGAGCTGGTCTGCAGAAGAATCTTCCTGCAAGATAGTCGCCGAAACTTGCTGTGGAGTCAACTGAGAGTCAATGTTGTTTCCACGAAGAGAATCTTGAGACCGGAGTTGGAAATCATGCGAAATCTCATGGTGTTCCGTGTCATGTTCCTTAGAAGCGGACTGAAATGGAGGTTGTTGTGAACGCTGTGGAATTTGTTGCGGGATTGCTTGGACATTTTGATTCAAAGGACTTGCTTTCACATTTGAAATTGGATGTAATTGTTGCCCACCTTGGGCTTGGTCAGCGCGGATAATGAAAGAGTTCGTGCCAAACCCAGTGTAAATATTCAACTGCGTGTCATGAAGGCCGTCTGGCTTCAATCCAAGAGGTGGTGGCAATTGAAGTGCGTAAGTGGATGCACCTTCATCACGGAATGGCTCGCCCTTAGTATGCCTTTCACGAACCAAGACTTGCTGATGCATACGCTCTTCAATCAATTCACTAATGTTCGTAGCAGCCAAGTTTTCCACAATTTCAACGCAAAGGTGAACATTGCTTTGAATTGCCGAGTTCAATTCGAGTAAAGGTAACTCATTCGCATTGATTTGATTCGAAAGCAACTGCACCATGGTAGCTTCAATAGCTTCACTCAAGATTTTGCGGCCACTGCACACAACCATGCTGTGTGCTAATTGTTGAGCCATGATTTGGTAGCTCTTTCTAAACTTGGCCGAATCAGCTTCAGTAGCAAAGTCTTTCCTGACCAACGCTTCGGTGGTTGACAAAACAGCCTCAGACACTCTACTTAAAATCGGGACAGCACATTCACGAACAGCGCATGCTAGAGATACCTGGAATGCCCTTCTCAAGTTGGGGTTTTGAGTGAAGATTGTGTTTCCCACCAAGTTGCTAAAAGAGGCATCCAACTGATTGGCGACAGAAGTTTGAGGTACATGATCATCCATCTGCCTGATCTGCGGAAGATGTTGCAATTGAGACAAATGTTGCTGTTGCTGCTGTTGCTGTTGTTGCTGCATCATTGCAGCCTGTTGCTGCAAATGCTGCTGCATCTGCAAACTTTGATTAGGACCCTCAATCGATAATGCAGCTAGATCAATCATACCACCAACATCTGTTCTCGTACCAAACATCGCAGCTAGTGCTTCAGGTTTAGGATTATGTGTTCTTATCAATGTCGAAGCTTCGATATCCTTCACTTTCGTGTCAAAAGCATTTAATAACACTTCGATCTCAAATTTAAGATTGAGTTTTAAGTCCGCACACTCATAAAGTTCAACAAGAACCTTAATCACGCCTAAGACCCAAGGATTAGGACATCTGAAGACACGGGAGTAACTGGCCTGCTCTAAGATTTTGCACACGAAAGGAATAACGATATGAAGTGTTTTGAAATCAAAAGACTCCACAAGCAAATATTTAAGGGCAACCTGATCTCTCTTCAAAGGCCTATCGTTTGCCAAAGTTATTTTGCCGAGCCAAGCGCCAAGGTTCTTTAGGTGCTGTCTCTCTGAAGAAGTGTCTTTGAAGTTTCTGAGTAGTTTTCCGACTTCAAAGAGGGTGATGTTCAACACGTACTCGTAAAAAATTGGATTGTTTAGAGCAAAAACCAAACTTGTGTACAATGTGTGATTATTTGGCTCAATCCTGGCTCTTTCCGTCACCAAATAATTAGCAAACCATGAAAAATACTTTTCGGCAAACAACCCTTTGATATCAGCCAACTTAGTCAACATGTTGTCTGAAGTCATGTTGTTCACAAAAAACAACAAGCGATCAGATATCGCTTCTGCTGGATCTTCTTGAGCTTCAAAGCCAATTGTCCTTTTAACAGCTGAGATAGAGTTATAATTCACCGCAACTCCTTCTGATTTAGATACCTGATTGTCTGAAACGGATACCTGTTGCGGAGCATTCGAGTCTGGACAAGGGATACCATTAGAAGCATCTTTCACTATCTGGTACATCTTGGCATGAGCTGAAAGAGACTGACATTTAAGCAAATGTTTGCAGTACATGGGATACTCATGCAACCTCGACTTGAAGTTATACAAGGATTGGACAGCAAACTTGAACATGTGAGAGTCTTGCGGTTGGTTACATGACTCCCAAATGAAATTTAGCGCAACAGTAAGAGTGGTCCCTTGGATTAAGTCTTTTTGAAGAAGTGCGCCAAAAAGAAGCGAGGTTGATGCCAACGCCGTTAATGGGTACTCCGAAAAAAACCTGTATTCGTCAATCAATGAGTGGATCATGCAAGAGAATACATCCTGTTCGTGAGGAACATCGCTGTTTTTCATCCTACCAAGCATTTCAACGATCTCCTTGATGTCCATGTCCTTGCTGTACATCTTTGAGTAACATGACTTCATCTCTTGTTCAACTTGCGGAGGAAAAAAGTTTGAAAACATTTCTTCGTTCTTCATGATCGCCTTATCGTGTCCGATTCCAAAATTGATGAGACGAGGATAAGTAGTCAACAAAGACAACTGCAAGTTTTTGAGACGTTCAGGGTCAACAAGTCCCTGCGATCCCTTCAAAGCATCCAACAATAAGTACACAACACTGACTTTCAATGGTCTTGAAAGACTTGATGGTGGTGCACCTTGCTGCTGTTGCTGATGCTGTTGCTGCCCGGCCTCGAAATCTTGAGCAGCTCTTGACTCCAATATTTCAAGTAAGCTTTGATAAACAGCATTCTTCAGTTTCGGGTCCCTCACATCATTTTCGATGACATGTTTCATGCCTTCAGCATAACTTGATGTATCGGGTATGCATGTCGATGCCTCCACGACAAAAGCCAAATACAAGCTGTAACTAATGAGCTTTGCCTTGCTTGTCAACTCGTCGAATAATTCAAAGCTAGTAGCAGTCTGCACCACCTTTGTAAGAGACTCTGGAGAGACTCGCGAGGTATAAAATTCAATAAGCTTCAGAATTGCCAATTGGATATCCAACTCTTTGAACTTATTGATGACTTTACCCAATTGAGCGACATTTTCATCAGTCCATGGTCTGTCCATCATAAAGGCGAATAACCGATCGATGCGGTCAAGAATGTAGCTGTCTTTGTCAGGAATTGCCAAAGCCCCAGCAATGACGTGATGGGGCTCTGACCGACAATGCAAATCAAAAAACTGTGTGAGCCAAGTCTCAAGCTTTCGATCACCCTCAGATTGTTGCTTGTTTTGATGTGTGGATTGAGTGTTGATTTTCGACATCACTTGCACTTCAAGCTTGGCAATGTTGACAAACTTCAAAAGTTCATGCTCGCTGCTGACTTCCCCTTCGTAACAAAGAGTGAGATTCTTTGAGTTCATAATATCAAATGCACCAGGCTTTGTGTACATTGACTGCAACATGAACAAGAGTGTTTTGTCAAACCACCACTCATAGCTCAACACGATATCGATAAGACCTTGCTTGAAGTCAAGCGCAGAAAAGAGCTGTGTGATACTGGCAACAGAAGGTTGGCTGTTGCGCTTGGATGCATCGAACAAAAGTTCTTGCACTTTGGAGAAGATCGCAAACCAATTCAAAGTGAAGTTTTTATTCTGCTCGATGTTCTTCAAACATGCTTGCAATTGGGCTCCTTTTGCATTGGCTTCCGGCAAGTTATTCACAAAGGTTAGAGGTGTGATCCCACCATTAGTATTGGTGAGACCCTGCGAGCCAGGGATAAGAACTTCTGCTAATACCAATGCAATGCTTTCGTCTGCATCTTCTGGTTTGATTTGGAGCAACGAAGGGAGAAGTTTTTCGGGCAACAAATTCTCAGGCCCGATCTCTATTAAAAGCTCTTTGAAAGTCATCTTAAGAATGCTGCGGAAGAAGGCTTGAACGGGGGGGATGGTCAGGTCAAACGCGTTGAACTGGCCGATGGTAGAAAGTTTGTGGAGAAATGGGTAGGTGGGCGATCTCAAGATACAGTCGAGAAGAACGTGGCACCAGGATCTGTCTGAAGTGGTGCTTCTTTCGATGACAAGAGCAGGGACTTTGGAGGAGGCCTCTTCGAAGAAGTGCTTTACAGCGGGCGATTCGGGGTCAGCTATACGCAGAACAAATGTGAACAGTAAGACCGGATCGATCGAAAAACGCTCAATGAAGTAGAAGATCTGCTCTGTGGCGTTGTTTCCGAGAATGGAACTGAGCTCGGGGATCAAGAACTCGATGAACGTGCAGTCCTTGGCGAGGTATTCAAGCTCCGCTTTGAAGATCTGTTCGGGGGGCGAGAGCGACGCGGTGTGAGGCGTATCCTTGACAACGGCAACGAGCTTGCTGTAGAAGTACGAGTGTACAATGTGGTGCTTGCGCTCGTTGGAGAGAATGTACCTGATCTGGTCGTGGTGGGATTTCCAGGTGGCGGCAGAAGCGGTGGCCAAAAGGATGGAGAGCTGGTTGAGGACGATCGACACGTACTGCGAGCTTTCGTTGATGCTGGGCTCGTGGACGAGGATGCTGAGCGGGTTCAACGGCTTCTCCTGCAAAAGCTGGTCAAGGGTGTCTTTTTCGTTGGTCGTGGGGAGTGGGCCCGAGGGGCTGGCGGCCTTTTGCGAAGTCACTGTTGATGTGCTTTTTGTGGAGCTTGGTGCGAGTTCTCGACGACAGATCTAGTCAGTAGTCTGGCGTCGTTTTGGTGATCTGTTGTTAGTATATCTGTGAGGGCGTGCGCAGGCAGGGTTCGGCGGGTAATGCCACGATTTTTCGACAAAAGAACACACCCATTGCCGGGAGCCTGGATGTGGGTGCGGGCACTGGGATTGAGAACAGCAGCTGGCGTTGTGGTGCAATTTGCGTATTCTATATATGATCTCTCTTGGGCTCTACCTGGAGCAAAGTTGCACGCCTGGGAGAACGGCGGACGAGAGCATGCAAGAAGACCTGCCCTATTAATTGACGCAGGCTTGTGTAATCAGGGACCCAAATGTGCACGGACGGCTGTCAACATACGAATTTATGCAAGTTTAGGCAAAAACCACGGGATGTTGTATGACTATGGACCCGTAGTACGCTCAAAAAATTTAGTGTGCTTCGGTGGTGGTGCGGGTTACCCGGCAGTACACGACCAGAGGCAACTGACGTGGAGCGCGGGCCGTGGATTCTATACATGGGCCGCGAGGCTGCGAAACAATAGAGGCTGCGAGACAATAGACGAGATACTAAAAGCATAAACAAGGAGAACTGCGCAAGAAGCGATGAAGACCTGGGGAATTTGAAAAGTAAACTAAGAGTATTTTGCCGCTTTATTTGAGCTGCGGTGTCTGTGTCCGTTGTCTCCTCAGGGACATCGGTGTTCACCACCTTCCAGGGCACTTAGATTGGGAGCCTAATAGCTTCCTGGGCACCTTGGAGCCTAATAGCTCCCAACGTGAATTCGGAACTCAAAAACTTCGTAACCCGGTCTTTTAAACCGCCTTGCCGGTTCACATAGAGATAACGCTGCCAATGTCGCGTTTGAGCTCGTCGTTGTCAAGGTGGGCGTAGGCTCGCCTCAACAACAGCTTAAGCTCCTGGTTCTCCAAAGTGAGGTCCTCCATCGTGGCTTTGATGGAACCGCTGTCACTGAAAGACGTCGACCTGCCTCCGTGCTTCATCAGCCTATCCCATGACAAACTCGTCGCATTCGAGTATATGGACTCTGTGTCCTTGGGCGAGGAAAACAAAGACATTTGCGACCTGCTCTCATTTGGCACAAAGCTGTCTGTGCTGAGTGAATGTGATGTGGTGTTCAGGGCACCTTCTCCATCTGAAGAGCTGGACGAAACGGCCAAGTTCTTCAACATTCCCAAGACAGAAGACCCATTTCTCTTATGAGGGCTCTTCTTCTTTGGTGTCACCACCTGCGGGACTGTATCGTATACAGACTCCATGAACAATGACTCGTCGATCGACAAAAGCATGTCGCCGAAGAATGCAGTAGAATTGTTTATGATGTGTCCCCACTTGGACTCGTTCAACAAGTGCTGGTACACCACTTCTTCGTCCCCGTGGCCAAATGACATTAGGATGGGGCGGTTGCAAAGGAGGAGGCCCATCGAGATCTTGAAGATACCCACTTTCCATCCTTCCACGAGGCAAAAGTCCACAATCCTATTGTTCACCGTGAAGTCCGGGGCGTGGATCAAAGTACCTGATAGCCACCACTGGTACAAGAAGACTTTGCAGTCACAAAACAATTTGAGGTGATTAGCGAGCTCTGCATCTACAGAAGACAACATCACCATGAATTCGAAATACCATTTGTCCAAAGTGCTGGCCATTGTAGTAGGAACGAAGATCGAGCGCAACTCTGGCTCGCATTCCATGATTTTGCACCATGAGTGAAACGTGGCTTCGCGGTCCCGAAGCAGATAGAATAGCGTTCCGACAAGAAATAGTAGACCTTGGCAGTATCCAAGATCCAAATCGTAGTTGGCATATACATTCAAAATGGTGAGCAAAGAATCAACAGTGTCTTTTTCCTGGAAAAAGCGCATGTTAGGGAATGTACGTGCCAAGTCCTTCTTGATCTGGCTGGAAATGTCACGGTCGTACGAGTGTTGGAAGTTCTTAAAGAGTACCTTTGCCTCATCTGGAATTCCCGTGAGGTTCTTCTGATTGACCAAGATCAACTTTTGCCACACTAGCGGGCGAAGCTGGAAGGGTACGCCCTTCTGAAAAAAGGCAACTTTTGAGTAGTTTGGAACTGCCAAAAGCGTCTTGTATGGGTTGGTAACAAATGAGCGCCAATAGTCCAGCTCCACGCTGGACGTAAGGCTAGATACAGTATCGATGTAGGCACTACAACACGAAGATTTGCTTTCGGATAGTTTTGACCGGCAGTCGGTGCACAACGTAACCTCATCTGAGCTATAGTCATACTGAGCGAATATTTCAGCAATGGTAGTCTCGGACACTGCTCGATCTGGAGACGAGGCGACGGAGAATCTGTTGAGATCTGCCTTGAGATCCAAGTTATTCAACATGATGGAGTTGGACGATACGGACATTTCTGCAAGGGACTCCTCGAACTCTAACAATGACTCCGAAAACATTGTAAATACCTGATCTGTGTTTGGTGGGTGAGTATGTTTGAAAGTCTTGATTTTATATGAATGCTTTGTCTTAATTTGGGTTATTTCTGTTCGATCTGGTCTGGGGTGAGTTGTATGCCAAGTTGTAGATTGGAATGATTCGCTGATTCCAGATGACTGAACCGTGCAATGAATTATAACGATATGACTTGTTAGATGAGAAGGGGAAAACGCTAAAGAAACGCGATCTGGATTGTTGCAGTGGTGTAAGGAATGACTATAGCTAAAAAGTAGACGACAATATCGTGAGAATGAAGGACTGGGGTGAGACTTTTCTGAAGGCCTGAGGATTTTGATGGGAGGACATGCCTATAATTTCTTGATGGGTTTGGAAGGCTGGGACCTCCTGCCTAATTGGGCAGCCGGCAGGAGGTTGGTTCGCGCCTCTCTGAACTTGCCCGTCGCACATGAATTCCAGACTTCTCCGGCATATAGTGATTGCTTTTTGTTTATCGACACAGTGGTGTCCAGGCATTTTTTTTTTTTTTCTTTTTTTCAAATTGCCTTCTCCTGAAAAGCTCAACATTACAAGCTTTTGAGGTACACGCAAACTGGAAGATCCCTCAGTGCCGCTTCTTCCTGTTGTCTCACATTGAAGTGACGTCATATTTGCATATTTGCATGTTTGTTGTGTCCTATATGCAACCACCGCCCCATGTTCGCGACGTGTCCGAATTTCCCCTTTTTACTCTCCATGTTCGTTTCAACGCGGTATACCTGCTGCGGTATTCTATATGAAACGGTCAACATAGCCTATTCCACGAGTCGAGGCTTCGTTAGACACTCCTAGTATATTTGCCACGGTCTCAGAAACTAGGAGAGTGATGATTCCAGTCAATCATGAACAGCAAGATTTTTCACTGAAACACTTTCATTATTTTCTGGCTGTTCTGCTAATTTAAATACCCTCGTAAGCGTTCATGGCACTTCCACAAGTATGTAGAGCTAGGCGGAAGAGAAGTTTTGGGCTCTAATTTGATAACCGATGACAGCACAGGATGAGCTTCTGAGCTTGGACATTAGATCAAAGAGAATCAAAATATGTTTGTCAATGTACGACTAAGGTATTCCAGATGCCCTTTTCGCTGTTTGGTGAGGACCGGATATACGGATCTGAATACTGTATGCAGCTCCGATTCCGGGGTTGAGCCGCAGTTTTCTCAGCCGTGCCTGGTTTAGTATTTAATTTTCACCTTCTTCTGGTTCATCCAGATGTTTCATTACAAAAGATGGTACTTTAATTAGAGAGACCCTGCAGCCATCACATACAGCTCTGTATGGCGTGTATTGGAGACTTTTACTTACATGTCGCCCACAGAGTCTCAACTAGTCACATCCGTTCATTGAAGACTACACTCATGACTGATATTCTACACTGCCAAAATTCTGCTCAAAATCTTAAAAGCCTTCTCAAGTTCTCTTTCAAACAGTGTCAAGTTTTTAAGCCCCTTTCTTCAGAATGAGCATCGCCTATTCTGATACCTCAAGACCAGCTTCAAAATTTAAGGTATGAGGAAAATTGACTAGACAAAAAAAAAATTGAATCTAGCAAAGATCATTTTTGTTGCAGTCGTTTGCTTTTGCTCTTTGTAATATATAAACACTCAGTTTTGCACAATTTCCAACATCTGTCAATTTTTTAGCTTCTACGATGCGCCTTCAATTAGGCCATCAAAGAGCGTTTAAAAATCGAAAAGGGGTGTTTTTTATTCTCTCTCCAGCTTTTGATTATAGATGGGATGATTTTAAGAGCCTTTGATATGCTAAGTCAAAAAAAGTGGAGGATTGAAAAATGAGCAATTTGGGTGAGCCCAGTACGTAAGAGGCCAAAGGTCTCAGAAAAGTTTTGCGGGAAAATGTAGTCTCATTGACAATACACTGAGCGTGTTCAGTTTCAAATTCTATAACCCAAACTGGACTTCTCGCACTTGAACTATTAGATCAGAATCCATATTGCGTATAAGACTTCAACAACGTGGTATAGAAATAATGCAGTATGGGAAGGCGTCTTTGATTTTCACGCTTTCACTGCAAGAGAGATACGGCATTTTACAAAAGGGGTCACTCATTAATTGTTGCCTCCAGCTCATGGAGCCCAATCATGCTTGGAATCAATTGCTGAACAAAATCAGACGATAAAAATGGAGGTTCGAGAAATATGATTCTTTTGGGTTTTACCTGCAAAACAGAGTTGATGTATCTTTTGCAAGATCATATCATTTGTTGGTTTTTCTCAAGCAAAACTGAAAGAATAGGCATTCGTTATCTCGCGCTTGAACATTGAAGTACTACAAGAATCTCAAATTCAAGGTCATATAATTAAGAGCTACTTGAAGATACTTGTTGATACTGAAACACGTAAAATAAACCAGAACAGAATACTTCAAGGATACGAATTTCGGGCTCGATTATCGATTTGAAAAGAATTGATTCCAATTTTAAAGGTCGGTGAACGAATTTTTTCTCCTAGCTACATCAAATTTACTGGATTATCTTCCGTGGGAATAAGACTCTTGATGACCATCATCAGGCAAAGACTTTTACTCTCATTTTTGGACTGACAGCTCATTCTCATTCAAAGCCCAACATCTCGGTAATCTCCTCCACGAAATAAGTCTGAAGCAAAAGTGATATTTTGCTTTTGGATGAGGATAGATTGTATATTAAACCATATGCTTTAATGGAGATTTCATTACGGCTTTCTATAGTGCATGTTTAGAAAATAAGGCTAGCACATAGTTAAGTTCCGGAAATAACACATATCATTTGCACATCAAAACTGCTTTAAAAGAATTCATTTTGAAAGAATTGTTTTGTAGTTCAAGAAAATAAATCAATCAGACAAGAGTGAATACACAATCAAATTACACTATCTTAAGTACAAATATTCAAATTCTAGACTAAATAGTGGTTTTTAAATACCCTCAGCTTTAGATTGCCAATCAAAAGCCACTAATATTTAGTTTTGGGAAGAAAGAAAAGAAAAGGACAGTCGATGCCTTTTTATATTTTGGTTGATTCATCTAATTAAAGGGGCAAAACTATATAAAGAACCTTTGAACAGTTCCCAGCTACGTACCAAGTGTCGAAACTCGTCCCGTCCCCTTCCGTTAGTCACGGCCTGGAGAGTCCTCATGGCCCGTATCTGTTTACGTGTTGGATATTACGTCATCGACTCCTACGATATGTCTCCTGTAGTAGTCCCTTTAAGAACTCAGATGGTTGTAGCGGACTTAAGGAGCCCACTTCCTGCGACTCGCCACGCCTTCTGGTGTAGACTTGAAACTCGTGGTGACGAACCGATTGAATTTTGTTAAGTTCTCCAAAGAGTTGTCGGCTAGGGCCAACATTAAGTTCAAGCTCATGGGCTTGGCCAATTTTAGTTCTTGCCACCAGTATTTGAATGTTTCGCAGTTGTTGTAGTTGTGTCTTAGGAAAGCATTTTTTTTCAAAGAAAATCGTCTGTGGCGTCTCTGTTGTTTTGAATTTGGTTTGTGCAAAGATGAAAGCAAAGTCCTGCAAGGAACCACGGCTCAGGTCGCACTCTTGTGATGTTACTTTTAGATCCAAATTTGTTTTATGATGAATACTAGAAGAAATCCCCAAAACTGCATAGTAGGCTTGATAGGTTTTCTTGTAAATTTTAATTACATCTGTAACAGTACTTTCCCGAGGATGTTACCATCCTCTAGGATTAGTCTGTTAGTCACGTGGCACGTTGGTAGAATGTGCACGTGACGTCTGGCATGCCGTATATGCCGGACGGAGAGAAGTGAATATGAAGGTGATTGAACACCCTGTTAGTTAGAAGGGCAAGCCTTATTACATAAGAGTAGATCACCTTAATAAAGGTTACTCTCCGTTACTACCGTACGCTTCCGGTATCAATATTACTAGGATAAGCTTATCAGTCTTATCCTCTGAGCCAACGGCCTATCCCGTGTCAGGCGACCTATCTCGCCTAGACAGCTCTATTATCCCGTGGCCTCTCCCACAAGTAAGAGTTAATAACCTCTGAAAGATCCAGTTACGAATAAAATACGGAAAGTATTTTAATACCATCCAAGGCTCTGTGGCCGAGCGGTCTAAGGCGGCAGACTCAAGTTCTGTTATCGTAAGATGCGCGTGTTCGAATCACGCCGGAGTCATCATTTTTTGTCATTTCCTTGGACTGACCTAGAAGGAGAAGATTTAGCTAGACAAACAATTACGGGTAAACACACATATGTTCACTGCAACTCCGAGCTGATAATGGGTCGAAAGCAAATATTCGACTGGTTGTCCCTATTCACATGTCCATGACAAAGATGGTGCTAATAGATAGCTAAGAGATGCGCAATCGAAATTCACATTTTCAGAAATTCACGGTTTCAGGCAAACGACAAAGCTATTTTGACCTTGATTCCTTATGAAAGTTAACCTCTAAACATCAATTTTGTAGGTGAAGCACTGGCTTGAGCCATCTCATTGCACGTCGAACTATACACACTCGCCAATAGAATTACCGCATACGGGTTAATAACAAACATTCATAGCGCACTGGATTCTTACCATGATATGCAAGAGGTGTATGGAAATCACACTGCTCCTACATAGCAAGCGCTTGAATCTCCCAAGACCTAAGCGAGGAATATAAGACATTTCAGCTGGCCTCGCTGATCGTGAGACGTATTGTGGGCTACTTCATAATAATTGATGTCTACAATAGCGGACGAGTATGAGCCTCTCGAGGTCATAGGTCGAGGGTCTTTCGGTACTGTCAGGAAGGTCCGGCAAAAAGACACAGGCGTTGTGCTTGTAAGAAAAGAAATTGAATACACTTCCATGAACAATCAAGAAAAAAATCATATAATCTCCGAACTACGTATATTAAGAGAACTTGATCATCCGCATATCGTGAAATATCTCCGCCATGATCACATCCAGGATAAGAAAGCAATACACATCTACCAGGAGTATTGCGATGGGGGAGATCTAGGCAAGATCATAGGTAGATTCAAGCGGGATAAGGAAAGTATCCCAGAAGAGTTCATATGGGAGGTGCTTGTGCAGACACTTTTGGCACTTCATCGATGCCACTATGGCATCGACGCCAAAAAAGTAAACTTGTTTGCAGGGGCTAAGAAGGAGAATGAGCCCATGGTTAATTCGGAAACCGTTATCATACATCGTGATATCAAGCCGGAAAACATATTTATCATGGAACCAAAAAAAACCATCAAACTCGGCGATTTTGGATTGGCTAAGATGCTTACTTCCCAAAACGATTTTGCGAAAACGTACGTGGGAACTCCTTACTATATGTCCCCAGAGGTTTTAATGGACAACCCATACTCGCCAGTGTGTGATATATGGTCTTTGGGCTGTGTTTTGTTCGAGCTATGTAACCTCCATCCACCTTTCCAAGCGAAAACACATCTACAGCTACAAGCTAAAATTCGGAGTGGCGAAATCCCCGAAATTTCACCTGTATATTCTTTGCATCTCAGGAATATCATTAATGAAAGTATTACTGTCGATGCAGAGTCGAGACCCACGTGCTACGAGCTTTTGAATTCTATATCTGTGCGAATGTTCCGGAAAGAAATGGAGCTCAAAAATCTCACCGACACTCTCAATGCTTTTCAAAAACAGTTGGTGATTAAGAGCAACGAATTGAAAAAACGTGAGTCTGCTTTGAAGACCCTCGAGGTCAGAGAAACCGCAGTACAATCGCTAGAAATGAGAGAAGCTGCTGTGAAGTCCTTGGAAACTAGAGAAGCCGCATTGAAGAATCTAGAAAAGAGAGAAAACACGCTCGATATTCTTGAGCGGAAAGTTCAAATACAAAAAGAAGAAATTGACCGCCAACTAAGTCTTAAGAAAAAACAATTAGAAGAAGATGTTATTATGTCACAAAGGAAACTTCAGAAGCAAAGGGAGGAGTTGGAGAATGAATTGAGGGACGATTTCGAGATGCGGAAAAAAGCGATGGATCAAGAAGGTAAAGAGATGCGGCTCTATTATCAAAAAGAGTTCAAGCATGTGGTTGAACAAGAAGTGCAAGCTCGATTATCTGAGATCCTACGAAAGAAAATGTCTTCTGGCGACACTGAGGGAGAGTTGCGAAGGAAAAAGTCGGATTCTTCCTCGACGTCGTTTGAATTGCCCTTGAGAACACATCTGCCCAATAAGCCAAAAGGGCCACGAGAGTTTATTGAGGAGTCTCCAAAAGCGATGTATCAGCATCAGTACCAGGCACATTCGGGCCAGCTTCAAAATCCACATCAGTATCAATTCCAATACCGAGCCCAACAACACGCCGCAAATTCGCATCATGTGACACAACAGCACAGATCACCGCTCCAAATCAGAAACGTGGAAGTCGAGTCTCTACCTGTCAGGCCAACTGAGACTAGTGGAAGAAAGCGCCTCACGGACGAATTCGAGAGAATTAATCTACAAAAGCGCAATACGCCAGAATTCGAAGAACAATACATGAGACAAAATTACAGATATTAGGTTGTCGGAGCAGAAGCGTAGCTGAGGAATGCTGCAATTTTGATTAAATAATGAATGAGAAAAATTGGCTGAGAAAAATGTCTAGGCTCTTTGCTCTACTCAGACCATTTGCTGCTGGTTAAAGCTTCGTAAGCCTCGATGTATTTGAGTTTGGTCTGCGTGGCAATGGTTTCATCCATAGCAACACCGTCTTTACCGTTCAAGTTGTTTGATGTCAACCAGTCACGCAAGAACTGCTTGTCGTAAGAGTCCTGGCCGGCTCCGATCTTGTAGGCGGATGCACTCCAGAAACGGGACGAGTCGGGCGTCAAAACCTCGTCAACCAAAACGATGTTATCATCCTCGTCCAAGCCAAACTCAAACTTCGTGTCTGCAATGATGATGCCTCTTTCTTTCGCAAACTCCTTAGCTTTAGTGTACAACTTGATAGCGATGTCAGACACCTTGTCACACAATTCTTTACCCACAATTTGCTCAGCCTGTTCAGGACTGATATTTTCATCATGTTCACCCTGTTCGGCTTTGGTAGAAGGCGTGAAGATAGGCCTGGAAAACTCTTGGGACTCCTGCAAGTTATCTTGATCAATGGTCAATCCGTGTACGGTCTTCGACTTTTTGTACTCCTTCCATGCAGAGCCAGTAATGTATCCACGTACAATGACTTCTAGAGGAATCAACTTCATTTTTTTGACGAGCAAAGCCCTGCCTTCCAATTGCTCTCTGTACTTGGGCTCAGACAAAGCAGCGGGCAAGTGCTCGAAAAGGTCCGTGCTGCCAGCAGGCAAGGACAAATGATTTGGAACTTCGCTGGACAAAAAGTCAAACCAGAACTCGGAGAGTTTAGTGAGAATCTTACCCTTGGCAGGGATCCCATTCGACATAATCACATCATAGGCTGAAATTCTGTCAGTTGCTACGAACAAGAGCGTTTGGGCATCGACTTCGTAGATGTCTCTGACTTTTCCTCTTGCAATGAGGGGCAAGATTCCATCAAGGTGTGTGGAGTGGAGCGACATTTCTTTGTTGTTTTGACTACTTTTGCAACAGGCGAGTCACGAGGAAAAATGCTGGCGATCCTTATCATATATATTACCTATTATTGAGATGTGCCCGAGTCAAAGTGACTGCGAATACACCCGTACATGTCTATTAGTCGCACAACTAAAGGTTTTACTGAGGAGCAATTTCGCAATCATTTTTAGATGAGTCGCCTCAAGCTTTCTCCTGTGGCAATGGTGTCAAATCAAGACATAATGATCTTTTACTGCTCAGAACTCTGTTCAAAAGTGAGCTATATAAAATTATCTACTACGTCATATAACTGGGCGCTTCTGTGAATCTGGGGACCAGCTCATGTATATATTTTTTATGCCGAAATTTTGAATTGTTTGATTGTTCATGTCAGCCATTGAAATCTTTCCCAGTTTGAATTTCTTAGATCATCGTAAAAAAGTGAGAAAACCCCTCTTAACTTACTTCTGAATGAAATATTGATGGTACGAGCAAACATTCTCAAGAAATCTAGGAAGCATGTTTGTTGATACTTTTCATTACTTTGACAGCATCTCTGTTAAAAAAAAATCTTATCGGTCAGGTTGTGATACAAGAGTTGAGTATGAATACACACATAGATTCAAATATGTATAGATTTTGTTTTGTTTTGTTTTGTTCTATTGTCATTTTTTAGAACAAGACAGTTTGTCTTGTGTCCTTGACTTCGTTCGACAGTAACAATCATCATCTACTCTGCATTAATGCAAGACTCGAAATGCACCTCTGTTGCACGCAATAAAACGATATTGGAAGATAATGGACGCATTCCTTCATACTTACCAAGCGGAGAGACTTTTTCAGCCAGAAATGACGGGAATGACATCTTCAGCAAAACTTTCACGAAGTTGCTTGTCAAGTTGATAGCCGAGTCTTGTAGCACCAAGGTGTGTTATGTCTAACAAAGTCTTCATTCACTTTGAATATATAAATGAAGTTGATATCCCGCTTGCTTTAGAAATTTTAATAAGATGGTGGTGATACATTCTCTTTCCTCTGTCTCCTAACCTAGGTTTCTGGAAATTGTCATCCCCTATTTCAGACAATACGTGGAAAGGGTTCCGGGTAGAAATGGGTTGGGCCACAGGTATCTTCAAGGCAATTTCTGAAGCTTTCACAATGTGGTTTTTTGTCGCTCTTATGTGACAGATTCTACGTTTTCTACCTTGAAATTGCCATCCAGAGTCAAAGACATCAGGTTCAGGAGTACTAGACAACTCAACTAGAGTCTCAATCTTTTTCGAGCTCAAGACTGGGACATTATCAGAGTTTTGATTAGAGGCTTGGGCAGAATCTTGAGCAGAGTCTTTAGCAGAGTCTTGAGCAATGTCCTATGCTAAGCCGGTTTCTCAAAATAGACTTTGTGAAAGCCCATTTTGAAGTCCACAGAATTGGGGGCACTAGAAAGAATGTTTCTGTTAAAAGGAGGGCACTCAAGAGTACGAATAGCTGGAACTTTCTCGTACTGTCTTCTCGAGCAGGGCTTCTGATAGTCGCCCTTACCAATATTGGCCAAGATCAGGAAAGGAATATTGGAGAGCATGGATTTGGGAGCAGCGCTTTCTGGCATAAGGGGAAGGATCTTCTCAGAAGTAGCCATTTTACTCAGGATTCCTATATCTGCATTTTTCCCGTTCCTTGCACGAGAGCTTCTACGCTTTCTACCTTGGACTTGCCACCCACATTCATCTGGGTAGGCAATAGGCAGCAGAGCAATGTTTACAGCTTTGTTCATCAATCTCCTATTGTTATGGGAGTCGAGACCATTTTGACAGTTTTGATCTTCAACTTTGGTTTTTTGGTCAGTCTCCACAACTTCGGCTTCCTGAGAAATACCAGCAGAGGCAAGTTTGGAGTCTGAAACAAGAGAAACTGCAGAAGAAGCATCAGTGTCACCATCGGATAAACCAGAGAAGCTTTCGTGGCTAGCTAGAGAAATGGTAAATAAGCGGTTGATATTTGTGATTGTGAAGCCAGTGGTCGCAAAAACAGCAGCAGCAGAAGGAGCATCAAAAGCAGAAGAAGCAGCAAAAGCAGAAGAAGCAAAAGAGGAAGCCAGTTCAATAGAAACGTAGCTAGAGTCCAGATTTCCGGTAGTTTCTTCTGTTTCAGCTCCAGTAGTTGCAACTTCGTTGGGGAATGGGTAGAGTTGATTAGCACAGAGTGCTGTAGGGTTAATGGCGATAAACTCAGGCTGAGCTGGAAGCGTCAGAAGGAACACGAAAAGAAAATAACCAATGAGGCAGAGCCCGGTGATTTCCGAAACGCAATGGATGATTTGGAAGCAAATAATTACTTGTTCAATCATGTTGAAGCGTATGTTCGTGAAAGATGGAGAGGTAAAAGAGCGAACCCTCGTCTATATGGGAAACATTATTTTTGCAGTCGGCGGTCTAACAAAGTATGGCTGCGAAATCAGGCTGTCGATTCGCGGATCGGCATCTATGTCTGTTGGTATGTAGTACAACACGGAGATATAACGCTGAGACAAAATTGCTTACGAATACAGCGAGTGATTCGAATAAACAAAATAGTACTTTAAGTTGAGGTAAACAGCTTTTTCATAGTGAGATCAAGGAGTCAAATCTTTTGAGGTCCGAAATAGCCATCACTTTAGCAATATGCAAGAAACACAGATTGTCTATTGAAACCTGAGTCCACCACATATTCGAACAAAAGACTTCTTTTTCTTTTTTTTTTTAAAGAAACATCATATTATAGGGTATCACTGGAGAAATGTAAACCCACACCACTAGCGAAAAACTATAATCATAAACCTATAATAGTTCGCAACATTGGCTCAGGTGAAAGGCGCGAGCACGAATTCACAAAATCTCCCAAGGAGGATGTGACCGCAAAAAGACTCCTGTCCATAACCAATGTCAACCACTTGAATAAAATTAACTAAATGTCATTGTCCCATAAGATATGTTCCATGAGGGTCCGTGACCATAATTCATTTGACAAGGCGGCAAGAACGTACATTTGTCTTTGCCACAAATAAACCCTGCGAACGGCTTTAACAAACCCTCAAGGTTTCTTGGATTTTCAAAGAAGGTATTTGAAGGAGCTAGCATCTCCTTTAAGTGCATTGGAGCCTAAAAGCCGAACTTTTGCCACCAAAAGTGCACAATCTTACACTCATTGCAGAAGTGGATGAACTTCTGATCGCTATTTCAGATGAATATTGCGAACAGATTCTCTGAAATATTGTAACTTATAAACATTTCTATTAAAATCCAAAAAATGTAGGCTTTAATCATAGAGTCCGACAACTTTCAAAACCACGCCTTTCTTCGTTAATGAGTTGACCGATGCTGTCAGCTTCTTCGGACAAGTTGTCAGCATCGTGAGTTCAGCTCTATAACAAATCATTTTTCTTTGATACATTCATCTGATTAAAAGAGTAAAATATATAACTATAATATAAAATACCTTCAAACAGCTCCCAGCTACGTGCCAAGTGTCAAAACTCGGCCCGTCCCTTTCGGTTAATTGAAGCTTTAACCATTGAGGTCAAAGAATGATTTGACGTATAAGGTGATACAATTACTCAGGGGTATTAGATCTAGAAAAACCAAATAAGGTTACGCTTAGACTTCTTGCAGTGTTTACAAGACAGAATATTGTTATGATACGACATGAGCAAGATTATAGATTCTTGGCATCCTGTATAATACGAAGG